TCTTTAATGTTTGCCATTTTAATTATGATGTGTCTAGCTGTGGGTCTTTTTGGATTCATCTTGCTTGGGACTCTGTGTTTCCTGGACTTGTGTGACGTTTTCCTTCACCAAATTAGGGAAGTTTTCTGTCATTATTTCTTCAAACAGTTTCTCTATTCCTTTCTCTAACCCTTCTTCTGGTAGCCCTATGATGCAAATGTTCTTATGTTTCGTATTGTCCCAAAGCTTCTTTAAACTCTCCTCCTGCTTTTTAATTTTTCCCCATCTGCTGCTCTTTGTGGGTGTTTTTTTCTACCTTGTCTTCTAACTCGTTGATACGGTCTTCAGCTTCTTCTAATCTACTACTGAATCCTTCTAAGGTATTTTTCATATCAGCTATGTCATTCTTTATTTTCACTTCAGTTTTATTCATAGCTTCTCTCTTTTTTTCTTTATTGATTTTTAGAGAGAGAAAGGGAGAGCGAGAGACAGACAGAAACATTGATGAGCAAGAACATCGACTGCACACCTCCCGCATGCCTCCCACTGGGGATTTGGCCCACAACCTGGGCATGTGCCATGACTGGAAATCACACTGGTGACCTCCTGGTGCATGGGTCAATGCTCAAGGACTGAGGCACACCAGCCGGGCACTACCTGTTTTTTTAATGCTGATGTAGTTTCTGCTGAGCTCTTTATAATTCATAATACGTTGCTTGTCATTCTCACTAAATTGTTTGAGCACCCTTAAAATCATTGCTTTGAATTTTTTATCTGAAAAATTGCTTTCTTCCATTTCATGTAGTTCCTTTTCTGGTGATTCCTCTTTTTCTTTTATGTGGGTGTTGTTTCTTTGTCTCACCATTTTAGCACTCTGGTAGTTCCAGGCCCAGTGAGAAATGTTGGGATGTGTAGGCAGGTCAGTGTGTATCAAATAAGGCTGCCGTGCTTCCCAGAGTGTTTTGGTGTGTGGTGCCTCTTGCCTGCTGTGGGTCCTGAGGGATTGACAACTGGTGGCTTATATTGGTCTGTGTGGTAGGTGCTGCTGGGTTGCACAAGTCCAGCTGGTGTGCTTCTGGGGTGTGCTGCTGCCTGGTGGGGCTGGGGCACCACTCCTGATCAGCCTCTGCTGATGCTGCTGGGGATGGGTCTCAGCTGCCCATGTGTGCTACTGCTGTCTGGGGATGGATGTCTGCTCCCGAGCCTGTACTGCTGGAGGTGTGTCTCAGCTCCCAATCCTCAGCTGCTGTTGGGGGTGGGGCTCCACTCCTGCCCAGTCATTGCTGCTGTGGGAGAAGGTGCTGGGTTTCCAAGCAGGTGACCCTGCTGCTGGGGGTGGCACTCAGGTCTGATCAGGCTGCTGTTGTTGAGGATGTTGCTCTTCTCTGATGCTGGTACTACTGCTGCTGCTATGGGGGATGGTACTCAGTTGCTAAGATGGTGCTACTGCTGCTGCTATGGGGGATGGTGCTCTGCTCCCAGCCAGTTGCTGCTTTCGCAAACAGGTACCTTGACAGCGCCACTACTGTGCACTGGTTTGCGTTGACAAAGCAGGGTCCACTGGTCTGATGGTGCAAGGGACACTGGTGGACTCTGGTTGCTCGGCCCTAGCCTCTCACCACTGTCTCCTCCCAGAGAAGACCCACTTATTACAGTAGCCAGGTGCTCCCCATCCACAACACCAGAACTCTCTGCCTCATGTTTCTGCATTGCTCAAAGTTGCTCATCCACATTCACATCCACTCACTCTCTTTCACACTCACTCACACTCTCACACACTCACCCTCGCTCTAGTCCTGCCCGCCACCATATATTTTATACCCAATAATTTTAAAATGTCTATTATTACATAAACTACTAGCATCATTTTATCCCAATGTCTTAACTAATCTAACATCCAATAATTCAAACATTCCGTTAATTGACAAATCATTTTTACAATGGCTTCCAATTGTGATTAATGTCCTAATTACAGTTATAACAACCCTCATGATCAGAATTGACAGTATAATCACCATTTGACAACTGCATTTTTTCCAAACAACCACTTGAATCTGTCTAAATAATAATAATGTTCAGTTAGAAATATTCTTTGCAGTCCTCCTATCTAGCATAACTTCAGAAGCACTCATAGCTCAACAAACGTTTTCTTTTCTACTTTTCATGTTCTCTATATCTTAAATCACTGTTCAACTATATAGAACTCAAAAATCTATTCTTTCAAAACTACGGCTCATATTTCATCTAAAAATATTTGCTTATGCAGAATTGAGTAAGAAAACAACCTGGAACCAAGCCATTTACTTTTTTAACTGATTATGTCCTTAAACAGTTTTTTTAATTGTGCTAAAAAGTCCATAATATAAAATTTACTAACCTAACCATTTTTAGGTGTACAGATCAGTAGTGTTAATTCATTTAGTGTTAATATATAGTGTTAATATATTCATTTTTTGTGCAACAGCCCTCCAGAACTTTTACATCTTGCAAAACAGAATCAGAACCCATTAAACAACTCCCCATTCCCTATCCCTCCAGTCTCTGCTAACCACCATTCTACTTTGTTTCTATGAATTTTACATTTTAGATACCTCATATAAGTGGAATCACATTATTTGTCTTTTGTGATTGGCTTATTTCACTTAATGTAATGTCCTCAAGGTTCATCCAAGGTGTAGTATATGACAGGATTTCCTTGTTTTTTAAATCTGAATAATATTCCATTGTATGTATATACCACGTTTTGTTTGAGTTCATCATCAATGGATATTTAGGTTGCTCCCACCTCTGGGCTTTTGTTAATTCTGCGATGGGTGTGCAAATATCTGAGACCCTGCTTTCAGATCTTTTAGATACATACCCAAAGTGGAAATGCTAGGTCATATAGTAGTTCTATTTTTTATTTTTTGAGTAACTCCATACTGTTTCCCATAGTGGTTGCTTCATTTTACATTCCCACTAACAGCACACAAGGATTCTAATTCCTCCACATCCTCACCAACACTTGCTATTTTCTGTTTTTTAACATCCTAATGAGTTGTGAAGTGAAATCTCATTGTTGTCTAGATTTGTATTTCTCCGCTGATTAGTGATATTGAGCTTCTTTTCATATGCCTTTTTTTGCCACTTGTGTATCATCTTTGGAGAAAAATCTATTCAAGTCCTTAACTATTTACTTTTAAGAATAGAGGAGCAATTTTAAAGTCACTATCCAAATCAGAATTTCCATAAAAGTCTTACTAGTATAAAATGGTTCATGAGGGATTATCTGAAGTTCGAATGCAAATAACACAATGGTACTCTTCTTAAATCTCTATCAACCTCTAGAAACATAACCCACAAATTTCAAAAACCCAACAAGCAAAGCAAGTGATTTCACTTCCACAAACATAGCAAATATATTGGTCCTTTATTAAATTAATTTTTTTTAGTGTGCTAAGTAGTCTTGCAATTTATAACTTCAGAACTGTTTACTGCTTTTTCTGACAGGCATGCATCAAATAATAATAATGACATTCTGGGGGTGCTACAATTATTATCCCTGGAAAAGATACTGAAACTGCCAAAGAGGTATTTTGATTATGTTGGGGTTTTTTTTGTATTAAGTAACCTTAAGTTGGGAAGCATTCAGTCCATGCTCTTCTATGCTTCTTGAGAGTATTTTCTTTCACTGGCTCACACTTTTTGGTGCTCCACTTATATTAGTGTTTCTCAAAGTAAGATCCATAGAGCACCTACCCTTGGATCACCCGTCACGTAAAAAGGCAGATTTCTGGACTCTACCCTTCCTTCCTCTTCTTCATAGCTCTTCTGTGATGACAAATGACACATTATGTACAGCAGTTCCTCGAATAACGTCATTTTGTTCAGCATTTCATTCAACATCGTTTCGTTATAACGTTGAGATGCTGCAGGAACTTAACTCTTGTTTATATCAGTTAGCCTATGGTAAAATTGGTTTCGTTATACATCATTTCTCTTCAAATGAGAACTTACCATATTTGATTATTGTCCATGCAAATTGAAGCTCCTTAAGGGATCTGGTTTTTTTCACTGCTGAATCCCTAATGTCTACAATGTAGTGCACATAATAGGTAGTATTCAAATATTTGTGAAATAAATGTTAATTAACAAATCTGTTATTGTTTGTTGATAGCATATTAAAATCTATCAAACCATAGCATCTGATTGGGAATAAACTTATGAAACTATTCATTTTAATTTTCAATTAATACATCACAATGTACTGTCAAGGTCACTATGCTTCCTGTTTTCCCTAATGTTTCTTTTCTTTTTTTTAATCCTCACCTGAAGATATTTTTCTATTTATCTTCAGATAGAGTGGGAGAGGGAGAGGGACAGAAAGGGAGAGAGAGAGAAACATCGACATGAGAGGGACACATCGACTGGTTGTCTCCCACACAACCTGGTCCAGGGCCAGGGATGAACTGCAACCGAGGTATATGCCCTTGACCAGAATCGAACCTGCAATTTATTGGTCCGCAGGCCAATGCTCTACCGCTGAGCCAAACCGACCAGGGCCCACTTTCCCTAATTTCTGAATGAGTCTGAAAACAACTCGTGCATTGAAATATAGATTTCATATCACTTCTATCCAAAATATTTCATGAATTTCTACTACTTACAGAATCGAGTCTATACTTCTTGGAATAGGCCAGAGAGCTCCATGATTTAGTGCCTGCCTGCCTCTTGAGCCTCTTCCAAGGCATTCTTTCCTGCACTGAACCCTTGAATGTGAACTTGTCTATCCTGTTGTTCAGGCTTATCAGACAGAAATGTTATTTTACCCCTTTAGCCTGCCTAATGCTACTCATATTTTAAGGCATGGCTTTTAGGTCACCTCCAGATAAAGCTTTTCCCCCAAATGCCACAGCTGAATCCCACTGTCCTATGTGTTCCTCAAGTTTGGATTTAGCATAGCGCTTTGCATACATTAATGATCTTTAAGAACATTTTACGGAATTTCCATGGAATCAATTTTGAGGTAGGATGTAACTTACCAGTTGCAAAGTCTGGTTCGGAGTCATTAGCACTGTCACCGTCACTGCCTTCCAAGAGAATCTTCCTCTGCTGTACCACAGCTTTGGATGCTGCTCTTCTCCTCCCCGGAGCACCAGGAAAATCATCTTCCTCAGTAATCTTATCCAAATCTTCAGGGAAGGCATAAAAATCAATGGAAAACTTTTTATAACAGGTAATATTTCAACAACCAAGAGTAGACTCCTATTACGTGTTTTTTTATTTGCCCAGCTTCATCCTTCCCCTGCTTCTAGTATTACACCACATAGCCCAATCTGGGCCAATCATAATACATCTGTCTCCTGGCAACACAGTCTGGTTTAAGAATAAGTGCAACACCCACAATCAGAGAATCTTTCCCCAAGAATTTTCAAACCGGAGCTGAGAAGATACAGCCCCTTTCTTCCATGGTCAACTGCTATCGAAGGATACTCTTGACCCTTCACCAGAGAAGGAACTGGGTCTACAAGTAAAAGAGAAGAAAACCAACATAGAAAGAAACAGAAAGATGAAGAGAACCTTGACAAAATTAAAGACCTTGGTTCTGTTATCAGAGAAGAGGGTGGGAATGGGAATTCTTGGGGTACCACTGGAATATGCATTTTTGGAGGCTCCCATGAGAGGATGAGATATGGTAGAAAGTTTTATTTTCATGAAATTATATTTCTGGGTTTCCAAAGTCCCATTTCCCTTATTCAAATCATAGAAGAAGTGCAGCTGGGGTTTCAGTCGACCTAGAAGCAAAGCCAGTGTCCAGAGTTTTCTTTTCATGTTGGAACCAGGTCCAGTTCAGCATCAAGCTAGCAGCAGTCCATTAGTCCACTGTGTGTGGGCGAATACAGGAGAGAGCACCCTGAGCAATAAGAATCCCAAGAGCATAAGAGGAACCAAGAGCACAAGAGCATGAACTCCTTTGTTCAGGGGATTAAATATCTCAAATTTCATACCCCTGCAGTAGCCATGCCCATTCTGGCCAATGGCCTGTTCCCAGGTGTGAATGACAGGCAAGTACCTTCCCGACGTTACCCTGACTTACTGTGGGAACGCCCATCCTCCTCCCTATCTAGTCCCTTCCCCCAGCAAGCTGCAGGAAACAAACCGGTGGCTCCCTGGGGAGTGTAAATCTTTAACTTTCTGGTAAAGATGTCCAAATAACATGCCTATAATATTTGGTCTTCCCTTTACTCCTTTCCTGTTATTAATAACTAGCTAATTATACAATATCGGTTCTAGCTACTGATTCAGGAATTTACAACTTAGAAAAATAACATTGTTGTAATAAATAAATATTATTAGTACTATAAAAAACTTACCTAAGTAATCACTGGCTACACTGCAATTGGAGATATGGGGAAACTTATCCATTGTTTCTGTTTCACTATTGCCACGTTTTTCACTGCCTAAATACAAGAGGGAAGAAAAAAACAGATGTACCTTAATCAACCAATGTCTAGACGTAGGAAGATTAGTGCTAAATGTAACAGCATCCGGATACATATAAATGATCCAAACTCAAGCTAGCAGTTTACCTGGAGAGGCTAGCATAGTGTTAGGAGTTTGGGCTCTGAAGTCAAACTAAGTTAATCAGATTAAACTTCACTTAAACTGGCTATATGACCATGGAAAAGTTCTTATCCTCTCTAAGACTTAATTTCCTCATCTATAATATAGAGATAAAAATAGTGTGGTTATTAAATGCAGTTATTTTGTGGGATTAAATGCCAATCATATGTCAAAACTGCTTATTGTAGTGCCCAGTACATAGAAAACAGTCCATAAATATTAACTATTATTTCTGTGTAGGCAGATCCATGTTTTCACCAGCATAAACTCTTCAATCATTTAAATAACCTTAAAATGATCTAAAGTATTTTAAGAGAACTTTAAGTCACGATAATTGGTACTGTTAATCCCAGTGCTATAAAGTATATTTTTCTATGAGAAGTGGTACTTCCAAGGCAATCCTGCTATATGTTCTACAATCTCTTATAGTTGAGAGATGAATTTCACTTTCTCAATTTTAGATATATGACAATTCATTTTTTAAGTTTCTTTGATTCCTGATTACTAAGAGTCCCCTAATAAACAAAATAGGAGGCAATACTGATCTAAAGATCTATACTCTTACATCAACTAATAGGCTAAAACTATTCTCCAACATAAAGGAAATTAAGCCAAAACAATGTAAGCCAAAAAGCATTTTAGAAGTTTGAATGTCTCTTCCAGCAATAATAATTTCTGCCTCTCCAGAACATCAGTACTGCCATCTGCTGCACTTGTCAGAAAAATCAAAGGAGAAAAATCCAGAGAAATCCAGAAACCATAGATCCATTAAGTCTACTGAGCTTGCTAACCAAATTAATACCTTTAACCTTTGTAAATAATAAAAATTACCATCATTAGGTCATGTTTAAGTGATTTGAATTTTGAGAGAAAGGAGGTAGATTGTTAGGGTTGTATAGATCAATCCATTTCACCAAAATAAAATTTTCACTGTATACAAAGATGTAATTTGAACATCCAAGCTCAATGTCCATGTCCTCAAGTTTAGTTTGAGTGTTAAGGAGAGACGTATGTATGTATATATTCAATGTATGCAACAGAATAAACAACTGAATCCAATTATACCCTCTGCAAATTGCACTGTTTATGGCCCAAAGCATTAAAATTTTACTCTTTCCTCTGTGAAGGCTCATCCAAAGAAATGATTACAAAAGCAACAAGAAGGTTATAGAGATAAATACATAGAAAATAAAGTTACCTTTTCCTTGAGACTCCACATCAATGGTGACTATTGGACGTTCCTTCGCTGATAATGCTAGTGCGACTTCTAAGTCTCTCTGGTAGAGCTTGTCATCTAAAGCTATCCTAGAGTAGACACACAAATAATGAGTTTTTAAAATGATCAATCTCAATTAAACAGAAAAATTAGAGATTTTCCTGAATTACTACTTAAGAGTTGCTAACCTCACAAAAATGTTTTTAAACAATAACCATGATCATAATGGACCTTTAAGGATGACTTCTAAAATGTCGCAATGTCATGTTCTATCTGGTGTAAGAGATTTGAAACAGGAGCAGCATGAGCTGTTCACTTACTGTTTCCTTTCACTGGCTGTCCTTCCTACCAGTTTCACCCAGGTGGGAAACACCTGCTCAGCCCAGAATAAAGACTTGGCTCAAACATCACTTCCACTTAGAAATCTTCCTTAACCTCACCCACACCTCCTCAGACAGCTACTCTAGGTCTTATATTTAATTTTAAAAATGTTTCCATTTGCTTGTCCCAATCTAGACTTTAACACATATTTCATCAAGTACTTACTGTGTATGAGGAACCGCACAAGATAGCACACAAAAGTACGGTAAAACCTTTATATACCAGACTACTTTGGGTGAAAGTCCATTATATAATAAGGTAGGTTTTTCAAATGTGTACGTTGAAAAATTAGTGAGTGTAACTGTTTTTATTTATATGAACATGTCTGTGTAATTAAAAATTAGTATGTATAAAAAGTTTAATTTCACCGAAAAGTTTTCTATATGTATTACAGTAATTTTAAGTTTATACTGAATAGATCTAGTAAATCCTCACCTAAGGATATGTTTTATTGATTTTGAAAGAGATGAAGGGAGAGAGAGAGACAGACATTCATGTGCACGAAACATCAATTGGCTGCCTCCTATATGTGCCCTGACCAGGGCTCAAACCCGCAAGATGGGTATGTGCCTTGACTGGGAATTGGGAATCGAACCTACAACCTTTTGGTGTATGGGACGATGCTCCAACCAACTGAGCCACCCAGCCAGGGCTGTGAATTTCTTTTTTAAGTTAGGAAGCCAGAAGGGTATTATTGGTACAACCCTGTTCTCCTACAGGCACTAAATAAAATCATATTTATGACTCTGCTTGAGTTTTCATTTAAACCAAGAGTTCGAATCTGTTTCTCTTTTAAATTAACACATATAATGTCATATATTTATTGTATTCTTACCTCTCACCTTTTTTTAGGAGTTTTCTCTTGTAATGGGATGTCTTCTTTCTGGACATTCTTCAATTTAGGTTTTGGTTTTTCTAGTTTTGACTCATTTGGTGTTGTTCTGGATTTCTTAGTTAAAGGTCCGGTAGCAGGAACAAAATCATCTATTTATGTGTGAATCAAAAACAAAAGAATATATAAAACCGCTTTTTCTAAGTAAGAAACAAAATTATTTTCTTAGCAGTTGAAATTCATTATAGAGTGTGTTCAAATTATAAGGTTAAGCAAATTATTTAATTTCCACAGTTTAAAAAATACTGTTGGTAAATTGTTTTCTCATTCATGTTTAATTTTGTTTTAGTGAAGTTTATTTATTAAAATATCAATCCATCAAAACCAGTTCACTAAAAAGCTGATATATCTCTGTTGATACTCAACATAAAACTGCTGCTGTAGCTTTTAAACTCATACATGACATATGTATGCATACTTTCTGGGTACATGTAGTCTTAATCACATATCTTAGCATTTATTTATTTATTTATTTATTATCCTCACCCGAGGACATTTTTGCATTTATCTTCAGATAGAGTGGGAGGAAGAGAGAGAGAGAAACATTGATGTGAGAGAGAGACATCGAGTGGTTGCCACCCACACAACCCCAACCAGGGCTGGGGACAAATTGCAACCAAGGTACGTGCCCTTAGTGGGAACCGAACCCAAGACTCTCTGGTCCTCAGGCCGACACTCTAACCGCTGAGCCAAACTAGCCAGGGCTCTTAGCATTTATTAATACACACTGTATTATGCTTCCTCCCGTAGGAATATATAACTTGTGACTTGCCCCCACCCCTATCCTATAATGTCCAGAGCACAACTGGTAATTTATATATTTGGTGTGAGATTGAAGATGGTGATAAAAAGCTCTAAATTATATTCTATATTATTTTCTCCTAAGTCTAAGACCCACTTAAGGCTGTGCTCAAGACAAAAAAACACACACACAGAAAGAAAGATTTCTTCAAACCTCAGAGTTACTAAGTATTTGACTCACAAAAGGCTCTGGTGGTCTGAGAAATACAAAACCTGCTTCAAAGTATAATGTAATCTAACCCCATACTTCTCAAACTTTTTTTTAATTAATTAAGTTTATTGGAATGACATTGGTCTGCAAAACCATTCAGGCTTCAAGTGTATAGTTCAACAAATATCACCTGTACAATGCATCGAGCATCTATCACCCCAAGCAAAGTCTTCTTCCATCCCATTTTTACCATGCTTTGCCCACCCCCACCTAATCCCCACTCCCCTTTCCCTCTATAGCCACACTGTTGTCTGTGTCTATATTTTGACCAAAGTTCCCTTAATAGGAGAAACAAGCTTAAGCCTAACCTTTCTTCAAGATCTAGTTTTATTGAACAGTTAACAGGAATTTCCCATCATATTCTGTAATACATTTGTGTCTCAGAAAAAAAAAAAGCAGTCTCTCCTCCAAAATAGAGTCAAATCTCATTTTGAGAAACATGGACTTACAGTAGTTTTGACCCAAAGAACTACCTTGTCCCTCTCATTGATTACTTACCTACATAATTTTTGTCAGTGTAATTATCAGCATAATTATCCCAAATGTTTAGAAAATTATATTTTCCAGACATATCTCATATGCAATTGGGTAATATGTTCAACATTTCGGAGGAAATAAATGTCCAAATCTTTAAAACAAAAATAAGAATCTCTACATACCATCACTATTGGAGTCCTCACACTGTGAGTAATTGACTGGTTTCTTATTCCTATAACCAACACAGAAATTTTTCATTTACACAAATGTGAAAAAGATAATTTCCTTCCTCTAGGTACTGAATGAAATGGTATTCTAGTTTTCATTTCTGTCTTCTGACAAATTCCCAAGTGTGAATAACCTAGTATGTCAGTTGTTCTTTTACGTAAAAATGATTTTCTATGAAAAAGAGGTTAGTTCAGCTCACAACTCAATCTCACTAGTGTTTTTTCCTGAAAACCAACAATTGTAGAAGTGCTCTTACTTCTCATTTCCTCGTACAGAATATTAAAATCACGCATACTCTTGCTACTCTCTTACATTTTGGAATTAAAAAATTTGAGAGCTGAATATAGAAACCCTTTTAGAAATTCCAAGATTGAATAACAGTAAAATAACATCAACACTTAAAACAAGTATGCTCAATGGTTGAGCTATAACGATGTAATTTTTACTACTTCATCAAGCCTTCTTGGCATTTTCTATTTATTTTTTACTCTGAATGTGTAGCAGTAAAGAATTCAATGACAACTCCTACAGTTTGGTGCCACTGCCTTGATTTGTGCTAAGGCACCAGCCATTTGACCACCATCGCAGCAAATGCCAGAGCAATGAAAAACAGCAAGTAATGACTTGGTATTATTATGAAAATAGCTTGGACCTCCTGAAGGGGTCTCAGGGACCAGAAGGAGTCTGCAAATTATACTTTGACACAACTGCTATTCCAGATGAAAAGATTATGTCTTCGCCACTTGGATGTTAAAATTTAACATGTTCAAAACTCTTGATTCCCCCCACTTCCTGAACCTGTTCCTTTTCCTAGTCTTCCCCACCTCAGTTAGTGCAAAGATTCATCCTTCAGTAGTTTAGGCCAAAAATACTGTCTAGTCATCCATGATTCTTTTTCCCTTACCTCCACATCCACTTCATCAGCAAGTTCTGTCAGCAGTACCTCCAAAATACATCCCAAATTCATTGATCCCATTCCATGTCCACAGATAACACCCTAATCCAAACCAGTATCCAATAATATAATAGCCTCCTAACTGGTTTTTCAGCTCCCCTTCTGGTTACCCGATCTCCCATTCATTCTCCACCAGTAGTCAGTCACCTGTATAAAACCAAAATTAGATTTCTCTCCTCTATTTAAAACTCTATTGACTTCCCATTGCACTTAGAATAAAATCCAAACTCCTTGCTAAAGCCTACAAGGCCCTCCCTGCTCTGGTCCCTACTCATTTCCCTGACCTAATCCCCTACATTTCTCCCCACTGCTTGCCAATGCTATACAACCTTAGTGACCTTCTTCCTATCCCTCCAACATAGTCAAGCTCAGGGCCTTGGCTCTTGTTCCCTCTACCTGGATTGCCCCAGATTTTCATCAGCTATTTCCTTCTTGTCATTCATGCCTCAGCTCTTGTATTATCTCTTCAGAGAGGCACATCCTAACTACCTCATTTAAACTAAGGCTTTCCTCCTCACTCACTCTCACATTTCAATGTTTATTTTTGACCCACTAACCTCACCCCATGACTGAAAATGTAACCTCCTGCACCTGGTTCAATAATGTATATAAGTAAATATATCCCATAATTTTACTTAATAATGGCTGACCCTAGGCCTTCACTGTTAAGTAGAGGAATAGTTTCAAATAGCATAACAGAAAGCACATGGGAACTGGAAGCCGGTGACTTCAGTTTGAGTATTATCCTACCACTCACTAGCTTTGTGACTCAGGTAAATTGGCCTTTATGCCTAGTTTAAGCTGATAAAACAGGGCTACCTAAACTGCTATACCAAAGAACTATAGAGTTGAACAAATGAAATAGCACTTAAGTAGGAGCTCAGTGAAATGTCAGGTGCTGTTCGAATGGTAGCATAACAAGGTCTTATCTGAACGGGGTGGGTAAAGGAAATGGCAAAAGCTGCAAAAGGAAGCAAGGAGATGGAAGAAGAGGATACTGCTGGGGAACGGCTGGACCCCAGCGGGGCTGCAGAGTTTCCCGGTAACTGTCCGCCCCACCCCACCAACGCTACCCTCCGTTCTATGGGCCCCTGTCCTACAGCGTCTTCCAGCTCTTTCTCCCCATCCCCTCCGGATGTCCAGAACGACTCACCGCACAGGCCGCACCATGATCCCTTCGGGGCTGGATATCTGCAGCTATCAAGTTCTTGTTGGCAGCACAGGGCAGTTTCAATTCCCGCCCAAATCCAGACGCGGGAGCTCTCCGCCCCCTGCCACCAGCCCTCCAATGATTACCAGCCATCCTTCCACATGCGCATGCGCATGCGTTCTGAGCAGAGCTAAATCTGTTCACTCCTTTCCCACGACATTGCTCTTCCGCTTCCGGTCTGCCAGAGCCGAGTTTGTACTTTGCCCCTGCACTTTCGTCACGACTGTGGCTTTTGTGCAGACTCCGAAATACACAATAACCGTAGTAATACACCTTCTTACTCTTTTTAAGTGATTAAATTGATACCTGGGCGAACAATCAAGGGGGCATTCGATCGAGGGGTTTTATTCGGGGTGCCAGGAAAGGGGAAGGTGTGGGCGAATCGGCCGAAACGGATTTGCTGGCTGGAAAAACAAGTCGGCAAGTCAGCTGATGTTTCCTACGCCGCGGCTTCTTGACAGCTCGTAGAGTGTGGACCCATCGGACTTAGGAACTAGGGGAGGTGAGTCTGGAACCAAGGGCGAGGATGCCCCTTCAGAAGGAAGCCCCCTAAGAGAGGGACTGCCCCTCACTCGGCTGGAGCTTCGCGGCCCACAGTCCGCCCTCAGAATCTCCACGCTCTTGGCAGTAGGAGTTCGGTCCTGCCCTCCTCCTCCCATCCCATTTTTGCAGGGGAATCTGTCTATGATTTCATCCCTACTTTACAAAAAAATAAAATAAAATGGGATGAGGGAATTAAAGAATCTGTTTGTTGAAAAAGTCTAAATGTTTTACCGATTGAAACTAAAGTTAATGGTTATGATTTACCAAAAATATTTAGCCAAGGAAAGAAGAGCACGAAGAGTGTTCTAGGCAAAGGAAAAGCATGCAAAAAGGTTGGGGGTGGGGAAAGAGGTTTGGTATTGAAAGGAGTTGAGTATGGCTGGAAAATAAAATTTGCAAATTTGTGTATTGGGGAGGAGGGATGCAGGTGCTAAAAAAAAAAAAAAAGCCTGGAGATATAAGCAGAGGCATTGTAAACTGGGTTAAGGAGTTTAAATTTTATCCTGAGACCAGTGGAGTATTATAAAGTGTTTTAAGCAGATCTATAACAAGATCGGGTATCTACTTTGGAAAGTTTGGTATGATTTCAGTGTCATTCTGTTTTGTCTCAGAATAGTGTAAGAACTGATTTGATGAGGAAAAGCCTAGAGACTGAGTCTGGGAAGGAGACTGACAAATAAACCTTTACTGGATGTTGATTCTTACTCTTTTTGACCAGATTTTCTTCTTTTCGAACAGCATCTAGTTTGCCTTGTGGGATAGTTTATACTTTCTATTTTCTGTGTATCTTCTTCCCACATGGAAACTTTTCCAACACCCATCCCCCTTCTCTCTACCTCCAAATTGATCTCATACAACATCTAAGAACTCCAAGATCGCTTCTTGTTCCCTGATCTTTTTTTTTTTTTTTTTTTTTTTTTTTAATTTCAACCCTAACTGGAGGGTATTTTTCCATTTATCTTCAGATAGAGTGGGAGGGGAGAGAGAGAAAAAGAAAGAGAAACATCGATGTGAGAGAGACACATTGATTGGCTGTCTTCCACAGGGCCCTGGTTGGGGCTGGGGACCAAACCGCAACGGAGGTACATGGTCCTTGACCGGAATCGAACCTGAGACTCGCAGGTCCGAGGACCCATGCTCTAACTGCTCAGCCAAACTGGCCAGGGCTGATCTGTTTTTTGTTTTTTACTTTTTAGTCACCAACAGTTTCATAAATGCTATTATCTGCCCACCTATGCATCTCTTCCTAAGACTCCTCTCTGCTCCATGTTTTTTCCTGTTCTTGAGAATCCTGCCTAGGAATACAAAGTACTCTATGGGCATATTTTGTTTATTAAAAATCTTAAAAGAAACTGTTCTCATTTCAAAAAGCACTTCATTTTCATCACGAAGATGGAAACACAAGGATAAAAGTAGGAAAAAGTAGAATTATTTTCTCAGAATCACACAAATAAAATCATGTCTTTTATTCTTTTATAGACTTATAACCTGTTGCTTTTTTTTTTTTTTTTAGTTCTGTAGATATCCTGCCAAAGAAGATGAAGAAAAACAAAGAAAGATTCTGCAACAAAGAGAGGGAATTTGTGTATAAATTCAAAATAGGAAATCAGGGCTTAGAACTGAGGGTGCCCCTCAAATTTCCTGTTCAAGAGAATGCTACTTATTTACATGGACGCCTGATGCTGCTGCACAGTTTGCCATGCTTTATAGAAAAAGGTGAGGACTGTTTCTTTAATACCACATTATTATCTTTCTAGAGTCTCTGTCGTTAAATTTCATATTAGAAAGCATAAAACTAAGAAGCATTGAAAAAAACATAAAATATAAAGTGTTCAATTGCTTTTAAGAATAAAGAGATTCCCCAGACCTTTGTTTTATTTTGTGCTTTTTCCTATAACCCTTATATTTGTTGATAAGGGAAGTTAGTGTAGAAATTAAATTATATAATGAAAAATTAGTTACAAAGTCTGGAGTAGAACTTTTTTAAAATATTTTTTTTTATTGAGTTTTAGAGAGAGAGGAAGGGAGAGGGAGAGAGAGATAGAAAAATTGATGAGAGAGAAATGTCGATCAGCTGCCTCCCATACACCCCCTATTCGGGATCAAGTCCAAACCCCAGGCATGTGCCCTGCCTAGGAATCGAACCAGCGACCTCTTGGTGCATGGAATGAAGCTCAACCAACTGAGGCCACACTGGCTGGGCTGGATAAAACTTTTAACCTCTTAATTTAGTTGGGTGGATTCATAAGGTGTTTTAGCTATTACTTATTATATTATTGAATTATATTGCTAGATGCATTGCCCCTTTAATGATCTTGTTCTCAATTCCTGAGGTGTCATGGGAGAGAGGGAATATAAATTCCTGAATAATTTTTCTTACCAAAGTTAATTCCATAAGGTCATCTGTATGAAACCATTTTTAGAAGTCTGTGTAGTATCTCACAGTTGAAGAAATAATTTTTTTATTAATTAATTTATTTTTGTTACAGATGTTTCTCCTTTTCCCCCTTTGACACTCTCCTCTCCATCCTTGCTTACATGCATTATAACTTCTTTCATTTATCTCATCTCTCCCACTCCCCTCCTCCTCTAAAGTTTGTCAGTTTGAACCCTACTTTTTTCTGTGTCTCCAGGTCTGTTTTGTTCATCAGCTTTTTTTGTTCATTATATTGTACAAATAAGTGACATGATGTGGTATTTGTCTTTCTCTGATTGGCTTATTTCACTTAGCATAATACTCTCCACGTCCCTCCATGTCATCTCAAAGTATAAGAGATCTTTCTTTCTGCCCTGGCCTGTTTTGCTCAGTGGTTAGAGCATCGGCCCATGGTCCAGAGAAACCTGGGTTTGATTCCTGCTAAGGGCACGTACCTCAGTTGCAGTTTGTCCCCAGCCGCGGTTGGGGTTGTGCGGGAGGCAGCCACTCGATGTGTCCCATTCACATCAATGTTTCTCTCTTTCTCTTCCTCTCTCTCCCTCTCACTCTATCTGAACAAAAATGGAAAAATGTCCTCAGGTGAGGATGAAAAAAAGAAGAGATCTTTCTTTCTTACAGCTGCATAGTATTCCATTGTGTATATGTACCACAGCTTTTTTATCCACTCATCTATTGATGGACACTTGGGCTTTTTCCAGATCTTAGCTATTGTAAATAGTGCTACTGTGAACATAGGGGTGCATATATTTTTTCTGATCGGTGTTTCAAGCTTCTTAGGATATATTCCTAGAAGTGGGATCAATGGGTCACATGGCAGTTCACTTTTTATTTTTTTGAGGAAGCATCATATTGTTTTCCACAATGGCTGCACCAATCTGCATTCCCACCAGCAGTGTACTAGAGATGAGAAAATAATTTTTATTTGAGAATGTGTTGGATC